TTCAACAATAAAACAAAATAAAAAATGTTAAGTTCTAAGAGTGACGTAATTTAAATGGCTGTTAAATCAATACTACTTTATACTTCCATTCTAAAGAGACGAACATGAGGTCTAAATTAATAAATTTAAGCAAGGAAAGGTAATAAATGCAAAAAAAAAAAAAAAAAAAAAGAAGCCAAAATCTAATATAAGAGTTAGAGGGAGTTTCATGGATTAAAAAACGCCTCAGGAATAAAGGAGCCACATTTCAAACAAAGGGAAGAATGCAAAATAGTATATAACAGTCACTGTTGTTGCTAAGTGCCACCGAGTTGGTTCCGACCCATAGCTACCCTGTATCAGGTTTCTGAGGAGCAACTGGTGAGCTTGAACTGCTCACCTTGTCGTTCAAACTGACTTTGCAGTGCAGCACGCTAGCCCACAGCAGAATTCTGTGACAGTCTTAAGAACCTTAACTAGCAACTAGTTACCAGTGATCCCACTGACTTCCAGTGATCTCTGTGTGTCAGACTAGAATTATGGTCTACTGAGATTTTCAAAAACGGATTTTTCAGATGTAGATCTTCAGGCCTTGTTTCCGATGCACTGCTGGGAGGACTCGAACCTCCAACCTTTCCATTAGCTGTCAAGCATGTTAACCACTTGCACAGCCCAGTGACTCCAAACATATCATCTAATGTTCTGGGGCAGTCACCAAAAAGACTTGTCAAGAATACAAGGGGAGTTCTAAAGACAGTGAAGTACATAGGTTTGGCTAGAACGATGTTCACAGAGACAATGACATCAAATAGGCCGGAAAAAGTAAACTGAGACAAGACTAAGACTGCAAGAGAATGGAATGGCAAACTGTAAAATGATTGGGACTTACTAGGAATGCCACGCTAATGATTTAGGCTTTGATCTAAAAAGGCAATTGTTGTTGTTGTTAGGTGCCATCAAGTTGTTACCGACTCACAGCAACCCTATTCACAGCAGAATGAAACACTGCCTGATCCTGGGCCAACCTCACTATCATTGCCATGCTTGAGTCCATAGATGCTGCCACTTGGCCAATCCATCTCGTTGGGGGTCTCCCTTTTTCTCTGACCCTCCACCTTACCAAACATGATATCTTTCTCCAG